CGGGAAGTGTCCCTTGAAGGGGGGGGGTTTGTCTTGCAACCCCAAAGCAAACGAGTCATGCGCTAAAGTCCAACGTATTTTTATTAAGTTAAAAATTAAATTAGAATTAAAAATAAAAATTAAATTAATTTAAATTAAAGTAAATTAAAAATTAATTTAACCACCAGAAGTGCCCGGCAGAGTCCTAGGAGCTCCTAGCCCTACGCTCTGCCCTACCTGCTGCCCCAGCGAGTACCAGGAGGAGCTGCTGGAGGCCAGGGAGGCTGAAGAGGTCTCAGCAGTTGCAGCAGCGGCTGCACGGTGAAGCTTGTGCAAGCGCGCTAGAGCTAGGGCTCTCCCGCACATGGGGGTGGGAAAGAAACTCATAGGTTGAGCATGATGCGATTAATTACTGGGCACCCGCAGGTCATATTTTGCCCGTCCTTGCTATAGGTCAGGGGTGGCCGACCTGGGCTCCAGAGCCACATGCAGCTCTTCAGAAGAGAATATGCGTCTCCTTGAATCTTTGCACAAGCACACGGTGACCAGCTGCCCAATGAGATGCATATTAACTTCTGAAGAGCCCCATGTGGCTCTGGGGCCGCAGGTTGCCCACTGTTGCTATAGGCATGAGTGAGTACATCTGCATGCCCTAAAGGCCTCTCTGCCAGTCTGCTGCATACCAGTAGGTCTCCACCCACGCACCCATGTGTAGAAAGCTAGTAGATCCCATACACACTCATAAGATCCTGTACGCCAGTCCATACTTGCATGTGTGCAGGGGCCTTCTCTGCCAGCAACTCACCACTCATGCCCCAAAGGACAAGGTGGTCTTTTGCAAGCACAGTCTTCTGTGCATGCACAGGCCACCGAGGCCGCTGGAGTCCCCCGCTCAGGTCTCCTGCCCGTCATTCTGGTCCCTGGGTTCTGCTGAGAAAACATTTCCCCTGTGCCTTGTGCAACCCCCCACGGTCCCCCCTGGCCCCTGGTTCCCCGCTTTTGTCTCTTCCAGAAAAGGTCAGTTGCAAATGTGATCCCCATGGGGGAATAGGGGATGCCACTGCTGCATGCAGGCAACCTGGGGAGCGCAGCAGGGTGAGGATCGAAACCCGCAGCCTCTGCTGGTCTGGTGCTTGTGGTGCCCTCGCTCCTGACCCGCAGTTCCCTGCTCTTGTCCCCACAGAAAAGATCAGTCCCAAAGTGACTCCTGTGGGTGAACAAGGGGGTGGAGGGGCCTGAGGAGCGCAGCAGGGATCAGACGCACGTGTTTCCATTGGCCGTCTTGAGGCGTGGGGCGATTGGTTGGGAGGGGCTGTGCGGGTGGGACGCCCTGTGCCTGGAGCTTGTCTGCAGGAGAGGTAAAGTCCCACTCCAGGAGCTGAGGCAGAAGAGAGTCCCTGGGCAGTGGGAATGCAGAGAGCCAGGGGGGCAGGACTGGAAGGCCTGGGTCGGAGCCCAAAGCGCCCAAAGAGCCAGGGCTCCCCAGCTCTTGAAGCAATGCCTGGGCTGGCTTCAAGGGAAGTTCAGACAGAACACGTCAAGGTTTGGGATCCAAATAGAAAGCCCCTCTGGGTACCTCAGCACAGCCAGCCGTGGGAAGCACTCCGGGTCTGTGCAGCGGGTCCCTCCAGCCCAGCCAGCGCCAGGGCAGCTGGAGGAGCGGGTCGTTTGCTTGGAGTAAGCAGCTGCCTGACCGCTGGAGGAAAAGCCTGTGTGTGAACAACCCACACCTTAAATACTTCCCAGTCCCAGTCTCTTTGCACCAGGGTCTGACTGGGCAACAGACACATCCCCAGAACTGATGATCTCTGGATGATCCCGCTCCAGTCTGCAGGACTGACCTGTGTCCAGGGGAACTGGACGCTTGCTGATGCTTGGTGAGCATCCTGTCTCCAGAGGTGGCTGAGGGACAGGAGGAAATACAAATATGTGATGGGAGAGGCTGGACCGTGACCTGTGTGGTGGGAGAAACCTCCCTAAGGTTCGTTGTCTAGCTGTAATTTGATTGACAGACAACGCGGGTAAAGAAAGACAGCTGTTTATTTGCTCGAGCAAAGACCATAAAGCCAGCAAAAGGCAAAATGGCCCCCCCCTAAGGGTGAGGTGATCTTTTATACTTATTACAACAAGGCAAGACTTCATGGTTAACAAAAAAAAGCAATATTTGGGCGGTGCTTTTCAAATCTTTGTAACAGCATATTTTTATTAAGCTGAACTAGCACTTTTTAAAAGCTAAAAGTTAAGTAACAGTAACATTATAATATGTTAGCAAAACCTTACACAGTAGTAGATACTTCTCAAGGACACAACCACTGCACCCAGAACAATGGTTTCCCTGTCTTATCTTACTTCTTGCTGTAGCTGATTTTTCAGCACACAGACACAGAGATACTTGCTGTTTTTAACTCAGAAAATGCTTAATACAGTTAAAATGATTACTTGACACAAGCAAAGGCTTAGCTATCAATCT